GACTGGGAGACTGTGACGCGAGAGGAAGGAGTGGGAGAAGAGGAAGAGGAGGAGGAGGAGGAGAAGAAGGAAAAGGAGAAGCAGCGAGATGCGTGGAGAGCTCTTAGGGGTCAAAGGTCAGGGGTGATGGTGCCGGACCTGCTGGCCGAGGTCGACCTACCTGAGGGAGAAACAAGCCAAGCCAAACAGCCTATTTTCCAACGTGAGACACTGATCTAGCCCTCCCCGTCAGAGAGCGACCTGGCGGGGAGATCCGAACGGAAGTCGACTCAACAAACAAACCGGAAAGAAAACAAACAAATCTTCTTTCACATTGCCTCCAGGACACGGACTTCGACGTGACCTGCACTGACCTCGACTCTGCTGTCTGTTTTGTGTCGAATATTTGGCTCTTTTGTCCCCTAACCCTCCACCCTTGGGCGTTCTCGTGCAGCTCACCCCAATAAGTATACAGACCTCTAAGGATCATTATTTCCTAGTATTATCTTGACCTTTCTTTTTTTCCCTCCTTTTCAAGACTTCAAAAGGATGTACCATGTTTTTTTTAGGCAGATGCTCTTTCATGAATGTCAACGCTACCTAAACATGAAGTGGATTACTGAATTACTAGGATATAATGACAGTAAATATTAAATCTTTATATCTTGAACACAAAATGATGACTATATCCAGTGATATCATACTTAAAGTCAAAGTTGTATTACCCGAATATAGACAATATTATTATTATTATTATCATGATCATTTTTATTATTTTTATTATTATTAACATTATTATCATTATTATCATCACTATTATCATTATTATTCTTTCGCTTTTCTGTTCATGCTATTTTTGTAGTTCTTTTTCTTTCTTTCTTATCGAATTATATTTACCTAGGTATTCCATATTTTCACCTCTCGGATATTCTACTCAGTATTACTAAAGATTAAAGAAAGGGCAGTATTAACCCAGTCTATCAGATATATTAGCATTACTCTGAAGATTGTTTAGAAAGAATGCGTGCAAATATTTAGCGAATATCTGTACTGCCAATATATTATCAGTTGAGTTTATATCATAATTCATGGTATTATCAGTAGTTAGAGTAATGCTTTCAGTCAATATAATACTTTTAGTCAAGGTAATATTATCAGTTAGAATATTATCATTATCATTATTATTATCATTAACTGATAAAATTATCATTTAAGATAGTAATATCAGTCAAAATGACAGCTTCAGTCTACGTGATATTATCATTCGAGAAAGTTTTACCCGTAACGTTATCAGCTATGGTAATACTATCTACCGAGGAAATAGCGATTTAAGTAATATTTTCAGTCATGGAATTATTATCATACAAGGTAACATTGTCTAGGTCAGTGTTGTCCAAACTGGGGTCCGCAACATAGATCATAAGGGTACGTGAACAAACAAGGAACACACACGCCTCACATCTCGCATCAAGTTGTGTAAGTATTTTTTAAGCATTTTGTTATTAGATCATCTTTTTTATTCGCGTAATAAAATCGAATTTATTGACCAACACTCCAGCAATGCAGTCTTTTCATAATTAGTATATCATTTGCATTATCCTAAATAAAGCAGTTTGTTTAGCCATGGGGGGGGGGGGGGGGGGCAGGAGGTACATAATAGTACAAGAAGGTAATAAAAGGTAAATTAGGAGAAAATGTTTGTACAACACTGATCTAGGCAATACTGTAAGTCGAAGTAATTCAAGGTTATATTATCAACCCGGAGTATTCGTTCAGCCAAGGTAATATCAGCCAAATCAACGACAATGGATACGTATATCACTCACTGGCAGTCAATACAGAAATATTCATTCATAAGTCTTCGTGCTTTTAAACGCCGAAGTGGAAAAATGTATTATTTCTTTCATAGGGTTTCGTAGGTCACCTCTTTTTCAATGTGTGTATTCCTGTCTATCGATCTACAAGCAATAGATTTTGATGCACACAGCAGTATAGGAATCTCTTGGGAACTGATTCTCTTCGAAATAGGTTCGAGTCGTTTGAAGGAATCAATCAATCAATTTTTTATATTTTTCTAGATTCTTCCTGACGATGTAATCAAGCATAATTCATAGCATAATGGAAGCATTCATGAATCTGTCAATATAAAAATGGATATCTGTCTGACTTTCTCTCTCTCTCTGTCTATCTATCTATATCTATCTATCTACCTATCTCTCTTTCTCTCTCTCTCTTCTTTCCTTCTTTTCTCCCCCCTCTCTCTATCCATCTATCTCCCCCTCTCTCTCCTCCCTCCCTTCCTCTCTCTCCTCTTCTCTCTCTTCTCTCTCTCTCTCTCTCTCTCTCTCTCTCTCTCTCTCTCTCTCTCTCTCTCTCTCTCTCTCTCTCTCTCTCTCTCTCTCTCTCTCTCTCTCTCTCTCTCTCTCTCTCTCTCTCTCTATCTCACTTTCTCTCTGCCTTAAATCTTCTCTCTGTTTTATATATTTACATATCTTTAGTGAGATCTTAATTGACTATATCA